GTAAAATAAATAAAATCTTTAAAAAAATTAAAAATTAAAAAAGCCTCAAAATACAAAAATAATAAGACCTCAAAATGCAAGAAGTTTCCTTTAATTCCTCAGCAAACCACCAACTATTAGATGCTTCTTTTCCAAAACAGGATTTTTTTAATCTGTAATTATATGCATTTGTGTTCTCTACATGTATATTTTGTTACATGCACTGAAAACCTCGTCTTGTATGGTGCTGTGTACCCCATGGGTGCTAAATAAAGATTTGCGACTCACAACTGGAATTATAGTTAATTCTGCCTACGTTTATGACATACCTATTTAGGCCAAACTTGATGTTATACAATTTAGAAGAAATGGGTAATCCTTCAGAAGAGCAATCACTTCTCCAGCTGATCCCAGGGGTTTGGGCTACCTTTCCTCCCCATCTGAAGGGGAAAAGTCTGGGGAGGGTGGCGATTGCCTGCATATTAAAAAACAAATCAGATTCAGACTCGGATCTGTAGAAGATGTGAGCTCCATTTTGAATGAGAACTCCGTCTGCAAACCGTCCGTGTCTCTTGCCCTGAACTTCCCCTGGTTAGGGGAAATGGGTCATCATAGCTTTTACGAAAACGAAACTCTGCGGCCGCCTGTGAACTTCCGGAAGTGCCGGCGCTGCGCGCCTCCATCGGGCAGCAGCTGAGGTCGCAGCCATGGACCAAGTGTCGTCTTCCTCGACCAAGTCAGCCCACGGAGTCAGCTTGTCCGAAGCCCACGACACCCGGGACCAGCTCCCTCATCCCACCGGTGAGTACCGCCCCAGTGCATCTCGTGCACGCGCTCTGAGGTGGGGGTGCTGTGTCCCCGCAACCACAGGGCGGGTCCCCGGCCTGCTCGCTGTCTGCTCTCCACACCAACCCGCCTCCCGAGCCCCTGCGGCACTGCTGTGAGGGAGGTTAGTCTGCATTCACCTCCCGCGGTCCTGGGTGCAGTTCCGCTGGGGGCTGTGCGCCCAGACCACTGCCCAAGGCTTCACTTGCAAAATGTGTGTCTTCCGTTTACTTCCCCCACTGCTGATGGACCACCCATTGCTATTGTCCTACTCCACTGGGGATAGAGACATCAAGGGAAATAGACATAAACTCGGGTTTACTCTGCTCGTGCAGTCCACTCACTCCTAAGACTGTTGCCAGAGAAGTGGCATGGGTGAAGTAGGAAAGAAGTAAAGAAGTGGTCTTCACTTCTTGAAAAAAAGTGGTCAGGTGGGTCTCAGGAAGCAGTTGGGAAAGTTCTTGCCGAGAATGTGACTCCTTGGAACCATCCACTCCTTTCCATTTAGTAGTTCAGATCCTCAGCAGCCCTCTTTGTGCATAAGGCAACAGTCTTATGAGCCTGCACCATCCCTTCATTCAAATAGGTGTAGAGCTCCTACTGTGTGGCAGGGCTCAGAGCTAGGGATAGAGAGAGGAGTTAGACCCCGTCTTCGAGGATGGAAAAGGCAGCTTGCAGATGACCTGGTAAGAACCACAAAGTCTCAGGTGAGGGGTTTCTAACTCAGCCTGGTGTTTTGGGAAAGCTTTATGGAGGCACTGATGCCCTTAGTTTTAAAGGACAAGAGTCAACCACAGGTAGAGAGGTTGAAAGGGTGTTGCATACAGAGGTGATGACACAAAAAGGCACCAGCCCCAAAATGTCACATGGCAACCACAAGTCAAGCAGTTGCGTATATTCGTTCAGCTAGTGTTATCCACAGGATATTATTGGAGATGAGGTTCTATCCTGACTTTTCTCCAAACTCCAGACTGGTATAACCAACTTCATCAATGCCTAGAATAATCTCAAACTGTCCCAAAGAAGTGTCCCAAAGAAAATTCTCATTTTCCTGCATGTACCCACATGTTCCAAACCTGTTCATCCACCAGCCTTACTCCTTGCATTCATCCAGTTGCTCAGGCCAGTACCTTTAGCACAGCCCTCAGTGCCTTTCTTCCTCACTTCCCATCTAATGCATGAATCAAACCAGTCAGTTCAGTTTTCAGAATGTATCTTGAGCCTGACCACTTCTCATCTGTGCTGCCATCCAAGCCCCAATGCACCATCTCCCATTTTCTGTCTAGAGTATTGATCTAGCTCCTACTCTAACGTCTCATACAGACAAGCCTGCACAGGAGCCAAAATGATCTTTAAAAAACAAAATGAAAATGTGATTCTCCTACTCAGAGCCCTTCAATAGTCTCTCATTACCTTCAGAACGATCTCTGTGGTCTACAGTGTATCCCATGTCCTGATCTGATCCTCTCCCTGACTGTCTTGATGACTCTGCCACACCTCACTGCGTTATGGGTCCACCAAGCCCCCAAACCTATCCCTTTCTGGGCTCTCTTTGCCTCCCATTTCTCAGTTCCCCACCATAATTCAAGTCTCTCTCAAATGTATCCTCCACAGCTTTGCATGCCCATCCTATTTAAAAGAGCACCCTACCACCGTCATGACACTCTACCTCCTTTCCCTGCTCTAATTTTTTTCATAGCCCTTATTGCTAGCAGGAGAAATACTTGTCTGTCTCTATTACTAGAATGTAAGTTCCTTGAGAGTTGAAACTCTCATCTCATTCTCTATTTTATTTGTAGTGCCTAAAACAGTGCATAATAGGTTCTTACTAAGAATTTGCTGAAGGAATGAATGGGCTTGTATGTACCACTAAGGAGCTTGGCTTCTTTTCTCCTGGTGATGGAGGTGGTCTTTCACAGGAGGGAAATCAGCCCAATCTGAACTAAAATCTTCTATTCTGAATTCTGTATATCTGAGAGTTGGGCAGGTAGGTCCTATGGGACTATCAGCTGTGCCTAGGGAAATGAAGTCCTATAGTACAAGCATGTCTGCTGAGAATCATCCCTGTTTGTGACTAAGTTAGGTGATTCTAAAGAAGTCCACTGAACACCCTATTTCTCGGCTGTCCACCGCTCCTCTCCTGCAACACACACACCCTTATTCCTGTTTATACATTCTAAAGCTGTCCCCAGTAATGTTCTCTGGCTCTCCCAAATACGTACACACTTCTTCCAAAGTTATATACAGTCATATCATCCAGGGACAATCTGATGAAGCCATTTATTTTCTAAGTTCATTACCAAGCGTCTAGGTTATGTCTACTCCTCCTGTTTTGGTCTTTATCCATTTCAGGTGTACAGTCACTGGACTCAGTGATAAAATTGACTTCTCCCACTTATCTGATATCTAATGGAAGTACTAAAATAGTAAGCTGCAATAAAAATTGAGTTGATCAAAGAAGAAAAGAGGAAGAAATTTCCAAGCCAGCACCATAAATTGATTGCCAGTCCAGAACATAAATCATACCCTATCAGAAAGGGATTGTAAATGGAATTACAGGATTAGTGACTCTCCTTCCATCATCCACTCATTTAATGGTGAAGTGTGTTTCTTGGCTGTCCTATCTGGCTACTCCAGATTCTGTGCTCTGACTGGATTGCCCTTGTCTGGTGGGCTTTAGGACAATATCTGGGAAGAGAAATATTTGGAAGATATCTCTGATAACTCTGCAGAGGCTGTGGCCTTAGCAATCCCTTCCCGGGTGGAGGTGGACCTGGAAAGACCTGAGATTCACTGTGTGGGTTTGAGTTAGTCATAGTTCATGTGTTCCCAGCCTATCATTTTTCTGCAGCTTCATTCTGTAGAACTTTTCTTGGCTACCAGTTTCATTTTTTGAGAATTGTTAGATCAGTCTCTGTGTGTCCTTAGGTCTGCTAGACACAGTAGAAGCACCACGGGGAGCCCTGCTGTTCTTCATTATTCTTGGTGTCAGCTGCTGATAGAGACCAATGGACTCTTCCTTAAAATGCCCCAGCCCCCATAATACACCTGTCTTACTTCACTGTCTAAATCTGTATAGTCCCTGAATTCTGAAGGTGAGGAGTATCAGTTATCCAAGTGTATGTGGTCCAGGAGTTTCAGATAACGCATAGCAAGCATTCAGGTAAGTGGGGGATGTCTGTCTGTGTAAAAGGCTCTAATGTGATTCCCCCAACTGCAGCGAGTTCTGTGCATCCTCCAGTCTGGAAGAATGAACAAGGTAGAAGAGCTAAGATCTCTTAGGGAGCGATGATGAGAAGATGTTTTACCAAGGAAAAGCCATTAGGGGGAGCCTGTGTGCCCCACTTTGGGTTTCTGTCCATCAGCAGGAGAAAAAGTACTCTAGGTCAGAAGGCAGCAGTGTTGCTACTACACCTTTACTTCTAGGTGCCAAAACCCTAGAAGCCTGTGGACTTGGGAGTGCAACTCAGATGGGCAGCATCCCCAGAGCAAACACAGGGGGCCATGTTCACGTATCCACAGCCTCCCAGCTCAGCCAGATACTGGTCTGAAAGCCCTGCTTTGCACAAGGAAAGGATAACACTGTGCAAAATTGTCTAGCTCTTATACAACAAGAAGCATTGCATGCCTATCAAATGTTATCATTTTATTGGGGATTTTTATTCCATCCTTCTAATTGTCTGATGCTTTTTTTTTTTTTTAAGCCTGTGCTTTACAAATTTTCATGTCCAGTTTGTGTGTCCTTTAAAATAAGAATATAGTATTTTTTCAAAATAGATTTTAGGACTGAAGTGAATAAACTATTGGGATTTTTTCTGATTTTCATCTAGGATGGAGTATTATGTTGTCAAATATTAATATATATGCTAAAGCATTGGAAACTATAAAGTTTGGTATTGGAGGAGGAAGTGATCAATGGAACAAATAGAAATATAGGAACAAACCTAAACATACGTAATAATTAAATATATGAAAAGGAGATTAAAATCTGTGGCTAACCACTATGAAAATAAGTTAGATCCTCATCACATACTTTATAATAAAATAACTTACACATTAACATTTAATATAAGAATAATATTTTAGAAGGAAATAGAGGTTTTTTTCTAAGTTATATCTCCTTCACCCAAGAGTAGAAACCATAAAATAAAAGATTGATATATTTCATCAAATAACACATTTAAACATTCTGTATGTCATAGAACATTATAACAAAATTAAAAGACCACTATATAACTAACAAATGGTCATCCTGAATACATAACAAGCTCGAAAAATAGTGAATAACCTAGTAGAAAATGGGCTGAGGACATCAATGCCAGAGAAGAAATGCAAATGCCACCTTACGGTATGTTAAATTCATAATTATAGATTATGTTCTACTTCTCTCTGCACTTTGTTGTCCTGTCTTTTGATGTAGTCATCTACTCTTCTGTCCTAGTTGTATCTTTAATAATATGGTTCTAAATCGAGTAGGCATATACCCTTGTATTTTTTTTCAAAGTTTTCTTCACAGTCCATGCCCTTTTATTCTTCCAAATAATCTTTTCTTTTTTTTCAATTTCTTTAACCTTCTTGGGATTTAAATTGAAATGACAGTAAACCTAAAACTTGTTTGGGGAAGAACTGACAGCATTATAATGTGTAGTCTTCCTACTCAGGAACATAGTATTTCTCTTCATGTGTTGAGACTGAGCTTAAAACAACTCTTTTCTTTCCCCCACAATTTGATTTATTTAGACCAAGAAAAGCATACACATTGATTGTCTCTTTGTCTGACAGCTTTGTAATATCCTTTTTTACTCCACGCTGTGATTTTGTTTTTCCTTTTTTACTGAAGTTTAGTTGTTTAAAACAACTCTTTCATCATGTTACTCCCCTGCTCCAAAATCCTTCCTGGCAGTCTTTCACCATCTGTTTCTCAAATTCTTTACCAGCTTCCTCTGCACAGACTCTCCTTCTCAGCCTGACTGGTTTTCTGCCTTCAGGTCAAACCTCTTGGCCAGTTCCCACATCACTACTTATGTCTCCAGTTCCTCCTAAACCCTCTCCGCTTTCTCTGTCTCCAGTTATACCGGCTCAAGGCCCATGTCCTTGACAGCACTCTCTCCCACGGGAGAAATTCCTCCCCTGGATCCATAGCTTATATGGCATTTTCCACCCAGCAGTTATTTTACTTTGTGGCATTTGTTCTGTTATTTTGTTAGCCCCTTGCAGGCAACAATTCTGTCTCCTATTTCTTTAGATCCTCTGCTGTGCTGTTCCCTACAGTAGCCAGTCCCTACACATGGCTGTGGAGCTCTTAAAAATGTGGTTTATTCAGTTAAGACACAACTGTAAGTACAAAGTACACTGGGTTTCAAAGACTCCATACTGAAGAATGAATTTTTATATTGATTAAAGGTTAAAAGGATCATATTTTGGAGATATTTGGTTGAATAAAACATGTTATTAACATTAATTTCTCCCCCCACCCCAACGAGGCCCCTAGAAATTTTTCAGCTGTGGCTCACATTTGTGGCTCACATTACAATTTCTGTTGGATAGCACTGGTCTAGAGTGCCCAGCGAAATGACTCTTCTACAAGAGGTGCTCCCAAATTGGTGGGGATTCAGAATGAATGAAAAGAAGCAGCTAGCTAGTTTCATTTCATTTGAGGGTTTTTCTCTCAGTCTCTCCCCTTTTTTATGGTTGGTGGGGAGCAGAGGAACTACAAATTTGTATTCCTACTAGTTAGGACACAAATCCAGGAAACAGAAATTAATTAAATAAGAAACTCATCTGAATGTGAGATAAATGCTGCTCCAAAGTGCAGTCTTGTGATTTCGTGCAATGCACGATCTAATTTCAGAGAGACACCAGAGATCTTATACTTTGGATAACAAAAAGAACTTCCAGGAACCCTGTAAGTGATTAGCCTCATCTAAATTTAAAACTCTCACCAACAAATGGTAAAATAAATCTTTGTTTCAAAACTAAAAGTTTATGATTAAAAGCAGAATTGTGTTCTACAGAAAACCAAATCAATAAGAGGATAAGCATTGGGAAGGGCAAACAAGTTGTTAAATGGATGCTTATAGCCAAATTAATAGCAAACTAATAGGTTAGAGAAGGTTACCCCACACTGATATCCCCAGTGGGATTGTGGAAACAAGTGACTTCTTTTTCATCTCTTTCCTTTTCTTCCTAGCTCTCCTTCTCTTAGGTTCCTCTCTTTTCTTCTATTCATTTCTTCAAAAAAAATTTATTTTCTGCCTTTATGTATTTTTCTCTCATTATCATGCTAGATTACAGTGCATTTAAATTAAAGTACCTTGCTCATTTACTTCTTAAATTCACTCAAAATTTATTTTTGAATATAGTATGATACAGGGATCTGAAACTTTTTTTATAGGCACTTAACAGAGCACTATTTCTTAAGCACATCATTGTTTTATTATTGATTTGTATTGACAATAACAATAATTATTAAAAGCTTATTATTGCCAAGGCAGTGTTTTGAGAGCTTTGTATTTAAATTCTTGGTTGTGTTTCTTTCTTTTTTTAAGTTTATTTATTTAAGTAATCTCTACACCCAACATGGGGTTCAAACTCAGAACCCCAGATCAAGAATCACATGCTCTTCTGACTGAGCCAGCCAGGCACCCCCTGGTTGTGTTTCTTGAATAAAATTATCTTCATGTTTAGACACTTTAAATGAATTCATTATTGTCCTTCCTTGTATTAAACCATTTAAGAAGTACACAATAAGTTGCTTTTCCACACGGGTACATTTTTTTTTTCCTCTTTGGGAGTTGAGAATCTCTCATAAAAACAAGTGCCCTAGGGCACCTGGGTGGCTCAGTGGGTTAATGCCTCTGCCTTCGGCTCAGGTCATGATCCCCGGGTCCTGGGATCGAGCCCCGCGTGAGGCTCTCTGCTAGCCTGCTTCCCTTCCTCACTCTGCCTGCCTCTCTGCCTACTTGTGATCTCTGTCTGTCAAATAAATAAATAAAATCTTAAAAAAATAAAAATAAATAAATAAAATGCCCTGCCTTCTACTTCAGGACTGGTGGAGGAGTTACGGAGACCAAGAAATTCCACTTTTCCATTTCTCATCAGGGATGTTACTTATAGGTGTCTTTCAGGTTGCAGAAAAGATGGAAAAAAGGACATGTGCACTTTGCCCCAAAGACATCGAGTACAGTGTCCTATACTTTGCACAATCAGAGAATATAGCTGCTCACGAAAATTGTTTGGTAAGTTACTTGAAAACACATGAGTCGTTTTAGGGAAGGACATACTAAAATTGATAAATGTACTTTGGAGACAGAATGACAAGTTGGCCATGAATTGGGCTTTTAAGTGGGGATTTGGAGAGCATCTTTTTCCAACTTTTTATACTGTTTCAGATCTTATCATCTTATGATTACATTTTAGCTTTATTTATAACAGATCAAACACAATTATGAAGAAGTTTCTTCAGATATTTTAATGAGATATTTCAAATATAATCAATACCCATAGACATTGATAGACATTGCACCCAGATTTGTCAAATCATACTGTATTTGCTTTACCTTGATTTTTTTTTTAAAGGAAATAAAACACAGACAGTTAAGGGATCTCCAGTTCTGTTCCCCTCCCACCATCCCTCAAGATATAATTGCCATCCCAGATTTGGTGACTCTTATTATTTTGTATTTTTTATTTTATGTTCCCACCGTGTATATTTAAGTGCTTATAACAAGAAATATTGTTTTACATGTTCTTTGACTTTGTAGAATTTCATCCAAATTCTGTGGCTACTGAGATTTATCCATGTGATAAATTTGACTTTTAAGTGTTTAATTTTAAATGTTACAGAATTCCATTTTGTCACTGTCAATACTAAACTATTCTCACGTGAATGAACATTTAGGTTTTTCCACTTTTTTTCATATAACTAACCAGCTGTCATGAACATCTTTGCCTAGGTTCCTAATTTCTGGGAGAGTTTCTCTGGTATAGGGCACATAGCTAAAACCAGGGAGTGTTTTGCACCTCACTGTATGCGCCACAATGCTCTCCAAAAGGATTGCACCAAGTTTGACTTCTACATTATTTCAGAATTCCTTCATGTTCTTCCTTGCCATTCATGATATTATGAAATTTTAATTTTTTCCTCTCCGATGGATATGAAACAGTCTCTTGTTTGCATTCCTAGATTATTAGTGTGATTGTGCCTCATTTGGCTGTGCTTATGCTTCTGTGACTTGTGTTCATAGACTGCATTTTGTCTTTAAGATACTGACTTTGCTTACATGTATTTATATATGTATATAAATAGATTCTGATGCTTTATTATATACGTTGGCTTTTAATTTGTGGCTTTCCTGTCAGAGGCTTATAATGTAATTAAATTCATCATTTTCCTATATAATTTGTAAGATTTTTTCCCCTAAGAAATTCTTTCATTTACTAAGGTTCTACCTTTTTTACCCCAAATTTTAAAATTTGGCTTTTCTCATTTAGATTCTTAATCCAACTGGAATTTATTTGGACTACTCTGTAGAGTAGGCATCTCCCTTTTTGTTTTTCATATGATTAACCACTTTTCCCAGCATTATTTATTGACTAATCTGCTCTTTTCTCGTTGATTTGTAGTGGATAATAATGATAGTTATCATTATTACTCAGTATTCACCAGGCATAAGGTAATGTTCTGGGAGCTTAAAATGTATTATACTATTAATCCTTACAACAACCCTAAAAGGTAGGTATTATTATTATGCCCAAACTAAAGATGAAAGAACTGAGGCACAGAGAAGTTAAGTCACTTGCCCAAGGTCACACAGCTGTGAGTACCTGAGCCAGGATTCCTACCCAGGCTGCCTACTTCTAGAACCCTCACTCTTAATCCAGTGTGCTAACAATATAATATTTGTGCACAGATCTGTTTCTGGGTCTATTCAGTTCCAGCAGTCACTTTGTCTCTCCCTAAGCTGGTACAACATTGTCTTAATTACTATGATTTTATGATAAGCCATGGCTATTTTTCAATGTTACAAGGTTTCACACAAATTTTAACTGGGATTCCATTGAATTTATAGATGAATTTGAGAAAAAAATGATATGAGTATTTCCATCCATTAATAGGCTGTCTCCAGTGATTCATGTCTTCTTTTATGAATTTCAGAAATGTTCAATAATTTTTTTCTGTAGAGGTCTAGAACTTTGGGTTAAGCTTTTCCCTGGGTTTGTTGTTGTTGTTATTGTTCCATTACCTTTTTCTACTACTCTTTAAAAAAAATTGAAGTATAAAAAATTGAAATATGGTTGACACCCAATGTTACATGTTTCAGGCATAAACTCAAAAAAAATTGAGTAATTCTATTGCTCTACGCATCATGCCGTGCTTACCACAAGCACAGCCGTCTATCTCCATACAGCGATGATACACACTCCCTTTGCTGTGCCTGTCATCCCTGTGACTTTCTCATTCCCTCACTGGAAGCCTATACCTCCCACACCCCTTCACCCTTTTTGCCCATGCCTTCCCACCTTCCTCTCTGGCAACAACCAGTTTATTTTCTGTTTATGGGTCTGTTTCTGTTTTTTTTGTTCATTTATTTTTAGTTTCCACATATAAGTGAAATCATATGGTATATGTCATTCTCTGACATTTCAGTTAGCATGTTACCTTCTAGGTCCGTCCATGTTATTGCAAATGGCAAGATATTATTCCTTTTTTATGATTGAGTAATATTCCTGTGTGTGTGTGTGTGTGTGTGCGCGCGCGCGCACGCGTGCACGCGCACATACACTACACCTTCTTTATCCATTCTTCTACCAATGGATGCTTAGGTTGCTTTCATATCTTGGCTCTTATAAATAATACTACAGTAAATATAGGGATGAGTCTATCTTTTTGAGTCAGTGTTTTCATTTTCTTTGGGTAAATACCCAGTAGTGGAATTACTGGATCGCGTGGTATTCTATTTTTAGTTGTTTGAGGACCCTTCATACTGTTTTCCATAGTGGCTCTGTAATTTACTTTCCCACCAGCAGTGCATAAGAGTTCCTTTTTTTCCACATCCTCACTGACACTTGTTATTTCTTGTCTTTTGGACACTAGCCATTCCCACAGGTGTGAGGTGATATCTCATTGTGGTTTTGATTTACTTTTCCCTAATGTTGAGTGATGTTGAGGATCTTTCATATGTCTGTTGGCCATCTGCACATCTTTGGAAAAATTTTTTGGGGTTTTCTGCCCATTTTTAATCAGATTATTTGGTTTTTTATTGTTGAGTCAAAGGAGTTCTTTATTTGGGATATTAACTCCTTATCAGATACATCATTTGCAAATATCTTCTCCCATTTAGTAGGTTGTCTTTTCATTTTGTTGATGGTTTTCTTTGCCATGCAAAAGTTTTTATTTTGGTACGGCCTCAATAGTTTATTTTTGCTTGTATTTCCCTCCCCTGAGGAGACAGATCTAGAAAAATGTTGTAATGGCTGTGTTTATTTTTTTAAATTTACTTATTTGACAGAGAGAGACACAGCAAGAGAGGGAACACAAGAAGGGGGAGTGGGGAGAGGGAGAAGGGAAGCCCAATGCAGGGCTTGTTCCCAGGACCCCGGGATCATGACCTGAGCCGAAGGTAGATGCTTAACAACTGAGCCACCCAGGCGCCACATGGCTATATTTAAGAGATTGCTCCCTGTGTTTTCTTCTGGAAGTTTTATGGCTTTAGGTCTCACACTTAGGTCTTTAATCCATTTTGAGTTCATTTTTGTATGTGGTATAAGAAGGTGGTCCAGTTTCATCCTTTTTTTTTTTTTTTAAGATTTCATTTATTAGAGAAATGGAGAGGGAGCACAAGCAGGCAGAGGGAGAGGGAGAGGGAGAAGCAGCCTCCCCGTTGAGCAGGGAGCCCCGATGCAGGGCTTGATCGCAGGAGACCGGAATCCTGACCCGAGCCGAAGGCAGCTGCTTAACCGACGGAGCCACCCAGGCGCCCCCCAGTTTCATCCTTTTTCATGTGTGTGTCAAGCTTTCCCAGCACCATTTATTGAAGAGACTGTCTTTCCCTGGTTGTGTATTCTTGTCTCCTTTGTTAACAATTAGTTGGCTATAAAATCATGCATTTATTTCTAGTGTTTCTATTCTGTTCCATTGATCTATATATCTGTCCTTATGCCATACCAGACTGTTTCAATTATTATAGCATTGTAGTATATCTTTAAATCTGAGATTGTGCTATTTCCAGTTGTGTTCTTTCTCAAAGACTGCTTTGGCTATTTGGGGTCTTTGTGGTTCCATACAAATTTCAGTATTTTTTGCTCTAGTTCTGTGAAGAATGCTATTGGTATTTTGGTAGAAATTGCATTGAATCTGTAGATTGCTTTGTGATTTCATTCTGTAATGTTGATCTTCAATTCAGAGATAGGTTGGATTCAGGTAGCACATGGAAACTTGAGGCAACCTAAACATAAAAGTGGGTTTTTAATCAGACTCTAGGGGCATTTCATGGCTCCTGAAGGCCGGCATGCAGGCAGGTCTAAGAACAGTGACTAGGAAGCCATCAGGAACCCATTCTGTCCTCTCTTGACCTCATTTCTGTATTCCTCTTTGCAGACTGGCTTGCTCTCTACCATGTGGCTCAGAGTCTACTCCACTCTCTCAGAATAGGGAGTCCAGTTGGCTCAGCTTCAGGTCAGGGCTCCAACCACATTCACTTAACCACTGGGGGTCAGGGTTAAGCAGTATAAAACATGCCTGGGGATTGGGGCCACTTCCAGAGAAAAGCAGGGTGGCTTGTGATCTGCTTACATATCCCGAAAGGTGGTCACTGTTATACCCCAATCCATCTTCCACTCCTGGTAAGTATTATTTTGTGATACCATTTTCTGACTTGCAGCTTTCAGTGGTACTTTGTGCATATTGTGAATTTTTGTTTTCTCAATTTGTAGCTATACTCTTCAGCACTTGTGGAATGTGAGGATACTGATCCATGTAATAAAGACAGAAATTTTGATGTGGAATCAGTAAAGAAAGAAATCCATAGAGGAAGGAAGTTGGTAAGTATAAATGATTTTATTAGTCATATGAGATAAACAGATCTTGAAGGGGATGTTTCCAAAAGAAAGTCTACTTGATTGATAAACCAGGGATAGAGACGCATCTTGGAGAGCTGAAAGACATAGGACCTGTATTGGAAACTTAAATTCAACTGAACAATTAATATTTTAAAATGAGCTACAACATACTTCATCAGCAGACTAGATATGCATTAGAATGCTTTTGGGCTGTAAGTAGAAGGACCCTCAACTCAAACTGGCTTTAACAAAAAGGATGCTTATTTTCTTACTTAGCCAGGGGGAACACTGGCTTCAGAGTTGGTCGATTTAGTGGCTTAGTGGTATCATCAAGAGCCCATCCTCCTTTCTGTCATCCTGTCCACAACATTATTTGGTCCTCTTGTGGTCATAGGGTGGTCACAGACAACTCCTGAAGTGTCCGTCTTTCTTATTCCTATCTGGTAAAAGAAAAAGTTCATCCCAGGCGCCTGGGTGGCTCAGTCGGTTAAGTGTCTGCCTTTCGGCTCAGGTCATGATCCCCAGGTCCTGGGATTGAGCTCTGAATTGGGCTCCCTGCTCAGCGGGGAGTCTGCTTCTCCCTCTGCCCCTCACCCCACTCTTGTACTCTCTTTCTCTCTCGCTCTCTCTCTCTCTCTCTCTCTCAAATAAATAAATAAATAAATAAATAAATAAATAAAATCTTTTAAAAAAAAAAGTAAAAGTTCATCCCCAAGCATTGAATAAGAGCCCTTCTGAAAATTAAATGAGGCCACATCTGCTCTAGTTGCTAGAAGTGGCCATAATTAATCAGGATCAACCCCCTTGGACCTGGGTCAGCTCCCCTTGGGAAGACAGAGTGTGGAGTAGTTACGCTGTTGGTTAAAGCCCTTCATGGCTTAGCAAGTGGTACAGCAGGTGTGAGCACATAATGCCCACCACCACAGTACAGTTTATGATCTGGAACAAACATTTCCTTAGTCTTTACAAGGCATACACATATATGAGGGCAGTTTCCGTACAACCTGATGTACTTTGAGAAGGGTCAGCACAGTTCACTCAAGCAATCAAGCACCTTAGTGCAGGTGGAGCCCAGGAAGCCTTCCTAGCTGGGAAGGAGTGAGGGTAATGAAGATGGGAAAGGAGGAATTCCAGGGAAAGGGAATAGGATGTGCAAAAGTTGGGAAGGCAAGAAAGACATGGCATGTGCCTAAAACTATAAGGATATGACTGTGGCACCCTCTTTACTGACTCCATGGGATTCCACGGGATAGACCAGAATGCATGAAACCATTCCCTTGTTGCTGGATAATGAGTCGACTCTGGTTTTTCACTATAATCAACTAATGCTGCAGTAAACATCTTTCTACACATATCCTGTGTACTAGTTTGAACAATGCTGTACACTGTATTCCTAGAAGTGAAATGGCTGAGTCAGAGAGAATTCCCTTTAATAATTTTGAAACATGCAGGGTACCTGGGTGGCTTAGTCGGTTATGCATCTGCCTTCAGCTCAGATCATTATCCCAGTGTCCTGGGATTGAGCTCTGCACAGGCTTCCTGCTCAGCAGGGAGCCTGCTTCCCCCCTCTCCTGCTCCCCTTGCTTGTGCATGCTCTCACCCTCTCTCTCTCTGTCAAATAAATAAGTAAAATCTTTTAAAAACAATAATAATTTTGAAACATGCTAATAAACTGTCACCCAGAAAGGTTGTATCATTTTATACTTATGTGGATGAAAGAACACTTTCCTAGCCCTTAACAAAAATGAGTATCACAAATCTTGTTACTTCTTGCATCTGACAGGAAGTGTTACCTTGCATTTCCCTCATCACTAGAGAGAGGCTGAATGGTAGCTCTAGTTAGGCATCTGCCTCCTTCCCAACAACCCCAGACCCAGCAGTTCTTTTGTGATCCCTCTACAGTCAGTGACCCCACCTCACAGCCACTGTCCTGCAAACAGCCTGGACTCCCTCTCCCCACCACCCCGACACACATTTCCTTACTCACCTAGCAAACCGCCCCCCGCCACCTGCCTGTTGTCTGCATATGCTGAGTAGTACTAGCACTTGAACAGTTGAACAACTGGACAAAAACCCACAAATGTGTTGATTAATCTCAGATTCATAGCCACAAACCTCAAAAGGAACCTTAACATGTCACCCTCACCCTCTACCTTTACTGTTTCATATCCTCTCGTTTCTTTTAAAACCTCTCCCCACCCCAACTGCTCATCCCCAAATTGATGACTATGCCTTATTTTTTTTTATAGACTTTATTTTTTTAGAGCAGTTTTAGGTTCACAGAACACTTGAGGGGAAAGTACAAAGACTTCCCATATACTTCCCACCCCCACACATACACAGCTTTCTTTTTATCAACATCCCCCACTAGAGTGGTGCATTGTTACAACTGACGAACCTACATGGACACAACATCAAAACACCAAAGTCCATAGTTTACATTAGGGTTCACCTTGGTGGTATACATATCTTTGTCTGATTTTTATTGAGAAATAGGAGCCATTAGCCAGGAACTCCTACTATCCAAACCGCTGCCAATTCACCTTTGTCCCCAGACTCTGGGACCTCCCGCTTGTCAAAGTAACCCGCCACTTACACTTTGGAGTCATCACCTGCCCCTCCTTAAGGATTAGCCTCTTGCATTTCCCTTCATCCCATTCACATCAGTGTCCCCCTTTGTACTAGATTATTTCCTTCAGCATATATCCATGATCAACTGATAATGTCATCTTAAATCCTCCTCTGTATACAAAAAACCTGTTCAACTACAATGTCACTTCTGTCTTTAACTGACCTTTTAGCAGAATTCATCACATAGTTGTCTCTGCCCTGCATCTTGAAGCACTTTCTTCCTCTGACTTCCTGCACACACTCTGCTACTATGTCTCTCACCTTTCTGGCTGCTTCGTCCCAGACACCTTGGCTGTTTTTCCTTCTCTTCTGAACCTCTAAAGTGTGCAGTCCCCATAACTCTCCAGGGCTCCTGCCTCCATCTGAATATCTTTCCTGTGTGACCTCTTCTAGTTCCCTTGGCTTCAAGTCCATACTTACGCTAGGGACTCTATACCTCCAGTCATGATAACCAACCTAACGTATCTACACAAACATCTAATAGAAGCTCATATTAAACTGGCCAGTGAACACAGTCCCAGCCCCTGCACACACACACACACACACACGCACACACACACACACACTCCATCCAAACCTATTCACTCCTCACCTCAGTGAACTGTCCACCATTCATCCATCATCATCTTCTCATAAACATCCCAGCCCAGCATCCAGCCTGCAGACTCTCTATCCTCCCCTTCTCTCTGTCACTAACCCCCTGTAGTAAAGTCATGGGTCTCCCTCAAACACTTGCTAAACATCACTGATCTTTGTTCTGCATGCTCTCTTGCCCATCCCTACCCCAGCCTATGCTCCACACAGCCACAATAGTATCTTTAAAATACTGATCACTTGGGACCCCCTGGGTGGCTCAGTTCATTGAGCATCTGATTCTTGATTTCAGTTCAGGTCATGATCTCAGGGTCATGAGACTGAGCACCATGCTAGGCTCTGTGCTCTGCATTCAACACTCAATGTGCTTGGGATTCTTTCCTTCTCCTTCCCCCTCTCCCCCTCCCTCAGCATGTTCTCTCTCTCTCAGTAAACAAGAAAGAAAAGAAAGAGAAAGAAAGAAAGAAAGAAAGTAAGTCTTTTTAAAAAAATAAAATAAAAATAAAATTTTAAAAAACTGATCACTTTTTGTTCCCATTGTATGAAGACAAAAACCCCAATACCTTACCCTGGTTTGTAACCCCTTACATGACTCAGCCCTTACCCTTTGGATCTTACCTCTGACTCTTCCCTTGCCCTCCTCTTCACTCCAACATCAGCCCACCCTGTATGGGGTGGTAAATGTTGATGTCGGTAGTCTTATTCCTAAAAGTGCTAGAGCTGTTCTTATTTATGTTAAAATTGAAATTTAAGTTCATTAAAAGATATCATTAAAGAGAGTAAAGAAACAAAACACAGATTGGGAAAAGATACTTACAACACACGTATTGTTATGTTTTTAAGTTTGCTTTATGTGACCTTGGTTTTCTCTCTCCACTAGAATGTTAACTTCACAAGGACGGGTGCCTTGTCCCCTGCTGTTTCCCTCTACCCCAGAATAGTGCCTGCCACATCACAGTTACTCAGTAGTCTTTAAGTGAATGAAATTTTATTAACCATTTGTGTTTCTTCTATAATTTGCCTTTTCTCATTTTTTTCTGAGTTTATCAGTCTTAACCCTTTATCAAATATGCAGCAAACATTTCTTTCTTTATTGATACAGTTGACATACAATATTAGTTTCAGGCATACAACACAGTGATCTGACATGTATATACATTATGAAATGATCGCCACAATAAGCCTAATTACCATCCATCACCATATTCCAGTATCATTGACTGTATTCTCTGTGCTCTGCATTATATCCCTGTGATTTGAATTTTTAGTAACTGAAAGTTTGTACCTCTTAACCCCTTCACCCCACCAGGTCTTTGTATTAATGAGTCTGTTTCTGTTTTCAAAAATTTTGGCTTTTTGGTAGCTGTCACCATAAAAATGGAAGTTTAAATTTTTTATGTAGTCATATCTATCAGTCTTTTTCTCTGTGGCTTCTGAGTTTCCTTCCTTGCATAGTCTTCCTGACCTTAACGCCATACATTTTTATTAACTTTAAAACTTGTCTCTCAGAGCCTTAATCCATGTGGAATTTATTTGGGAAAAAATTATAAGGTAGGGATGTAACTTTATTTTTTTCTATACATAAAGCCAGATGCCCCCCCAAATTAAATCTTTCTTTGTGCTGTGATTTGAAATTCCACCTTTAGCGTAATCTAATTTCTTACCCATATTTGAATTTTCTTTATGTGTATGGTTGCTTGTGCTGACCTTAGGATATTGTTTGAGCTATTTCCTGTTTTGCAAGGTGGTTTCATTGTGCTTCCCCTTCATTCAGACAAAGCCTGAATCAAATCAAATCAACCTTGGGCATGGTTTGAGACACCCCCCGCCCTCGCCAAACCAGTTAGATTGCTGTGGCCACATACTGTCCTAGCCATGTCTACACCACCTTCAATATATAAAATGCCAGATCAACTAACTAATATATAAAAGCAAGAGATCAAATAAATTGAACTTAGAAAAAATTTGCTACTCAGGGTTTGTTTTATTTTAATTTTAGGTTTTTGGCCCCACTACATAGACTCCAGAGAGGTTTCACTTATTTATCTCACATTGTCCTCAGTAGAAACTATGAGATAGGCAGTGTTCTCCCCAGGGAAGGATCTGGGTCTGAGAGAGGGAAAGACTGCTGGATCACACAGCTCTCCGAGGCACCATCAGGAGCCACCCTCGCCATGGGCCCCAGTGTCCCTAACAGGACCCTTTGCCTAGTCAGGACAAATCTTTTTGTAGAAATCTCCTGTAAAAAGAGAAAGGTTTTATTTGTTTGTTTTAAAACAAAAGGGTTTTCTGCTTTTAATCAGATCATTACAGGTCAGTGCCAACCAAGTACTTTACTTAGCAGAGGTTTTACTGAAATCTCAAAATGAGCAGCTAGATGTTAATACCTAACATTTGTGGCTGAGGACATTAGGGCTGCTGACTTAAAAATAACATTTAATGACATCTTTAAATGTTAACAGAAATTAAACAGGTGCTTACTCAGTAAAATTTATTCTTCTGTAGAAATGTGCATTTTGTAAAAAAGGAGGAGCCACCGTGGGATGTGATTTAAAAGCCTGTAACAAGAGTTACCACTTTTTCTGTGCCAAGAATGACGACGCAGTTCTACAAACTGATAAATCTCAAGGAATTTTTAAGTATGTATAATTAAACAGTTCTAAAGCTACACTTGGGGGAACGGAATAAGGAATGGTTAGATTAAGACAACGATTTTTTGTTTTAAGACTTTACTTAGTTATTTGACAGAGCGCACAAGCAGGGGGAGCGGCAGGCAGAGGGAGAGGGAGAAGGAGACTCCCCACCCAGCAGGGAGCCCGCTGCGGGACTCAATCCTAGGACCCTGGGATCATGACCTGAGCCGAAGGCAGACACTTAACTAACTGAACCACCCAGGGGCCCCAAGACAAAGAGATACTTTTTAAGATTTTTATTTGAGAGCAAGCAAGCTAAAGAGAGAGAGAAAGGGAGGGAGAAGCAGTCTCCCTGCTGAGCAGGTAGCCTTATGGGGACTCCATCCCATGACCCTGATATAATGACCTGAGCAGATGTTAAACCAGCTGAGCCACCCTGGCACCCCCACAAGGAGATTTTTTTTTTTTTAAGATTTTATTTATTTATTTGACAGACAGAGATCACAAGCAGGCAGAGAGGCAGGCAGAGAGAGAGAAAGGGAGAAGCAGGCTTCCTGCTGAGCAGAGAGCCCGATGCAGGGCTCGATCCCAGGACCCTGGGATCATGACCTGAGCTGAAAGCAGAGGCTTTAACCCACTGAGCCACCCAGGCGCCCCCACAAGGAGATTTTTAAAGATAATTTCATGCAAATGGTTTCCAAGTAAGAACAGGGTTTGGGGGATGCTCAGTTGGCACCCTGACCTCACAATACCTTCCCTCAATATTATAGAAAGAAAATAAGCAGAATTGGTTTTTATTTTAATCTTCCTACATGCCTTCTTTCCCAGTAGAAAGCACTGGTTGCCATACTGGCATGAGTGACCTAATGGGTGTTCACAGGACCTGGAACCAGTTCACTGTTGCTCTCTTCTGCAAACAGGAGTCTTGTTAGCCACAAGTCCATGGCTTATCCATCTTGTCTGTTGAATGAATGTTTTTTTCCCACCACTCTTACCACTGTCTTACCTATGAAGAGCTTTTAGAAATGATAAACTATGCAGCAAATATAGTAATCAGTCATTAAGTTCTTGAACAAATTAGTCCTGTTTCAGTTGCCTTGGGCTTTTAAATCTTGCTTCCCTTCTTTCAATAATTCTTTAATGTTAATTTTGACCCAGTAAGACATATTTCAAGTCCAATAGAATTGTATTCTATCCAGGAAGGAACTTGATCTTCCTTCTGATGAAAGATTGCAGTTCAGTTAAATAATTAGACAATTTAGATGAAATCAATAAGCCAATTGTTAACTGAATTGATTCAGGTCATGTTCAGTTTTTTGGTATGTGGATGCAGTCTAAAACATGTCATATAGGGGCACCTAGGTGGCTCAGTTGGTTGTCTGCCTGCCTTCGGCTCAGGTCATGATCTCAGGGTCCTGGAATCGAGTCCCACATTGGGCTGCCTGCTCAGTGGGAAGCCTGCTTCTCCCTCACCCTCTCCCCTACTTGTGTTCTCTCACTCTCGTCAAATAAAAAAAATAAATATATCTTTAAAAAAATAAAACATCATATAAAAAGATATCTAGAAGAAGTTTTAACCTTTTTTAAAGTTATGAAATGAAATAAAAAATTAAATGATGGTCTGAAGTTGAAAAGCCAGGCAGCTGCTTCTCACTTCTTTGGGGCATGTGCATACACTCTGATGGAGTATTTTAAATTTCAGTGAAATAATATTTTCATTCACAATATTCTGAATGAGAGCATTATCTTTTTAATAACGATTTTTGTGAGAGCCTAAGTATTTTAAAATTGGATTTGGAAGCTAGATTTTTCCCTTTGGGCACACACCCCCGGTTTCATCAGTGTTTCAGGTACTAACGACACTGTTTTATCTAATAATCACTCTCTTTGTGCCAAAAATACTTTAAAGTACTTTACAAATGTTAACCCATGTAATCCTCATAACAGCCCAGTGAGGTAGATATTATTATCCCTGCTTTACAGATGCAGACACCAAGGTCCTATGAGACTTAGTCATTTGTCCCCAGGTCACAGCTGATGAGTGGCTGAGCTGGCCTTTAGGGCTCTGGAGTTCTTGCTTTTCACCGCCATATCCTCTTCAGGCTTAGAGGCCTATAGTCTATTCTTTTTTTTTTTTTTTTTTAAGATTTTTATATATTTATTTGACAGAGATCACAAGCAGGCAGAGAGGCAGGCAGAGAGAGAGGAAGGGAAGCAGGCTCCCCGCTGAGCAGAGAGCCTGACGCAGGGCTCGATTCCAGGACCCTGGGATCATTACCTGAGCCGAAGTAAGGGCCTATATTCTAAAACAACATGGGCAAGCCTTTTATTAAAAGGGATTTGTTAAATAATTTTACATGACTTTGAGCAAGTTCCATAGGTATTTTATTGCTTGAGACTAGAAAGGAAAGTGTAAATCATGTTACTTTTATACCATACTTTTTATGTTTGATTTGCTCAGAAACCCAGATTGTATTATTCTTATTTTTTTAACCTTCTCAAAGAGTTCATTTTATTATGATTTCCATAGTGACCTCAAACACCCAGTAGACACACTATTAGGAAAGCTACAAGACTGAGCAAAAAGGAATCAATTCCCACTATATCTTAAAATTGCAAGCATATTGGTCTTGTAGAACCAATGAATGGAGACTCAATGAAATAATCATTTTTGTCATTATCAAGTATCAGGTGAACTTTGATGCACTTTTTAATTGAATTTAAATATTCAGTTGTTAGAGTGCCTATCATACACAAGATATCTCGCTAGGTGCAGTAAGAATATAAAGAGGAACAGGACATGGGCTAATCTCAGAGAACCTAGTACCTTGTGGAAGGACCAGAGAGGCCAGAACCAACAGAGGCACGTGGCATGATGGGAGCAGGTGGGGATTTGCATGAAACTGGCTTGGCCTTGAGTTGATGATTGTTGAAACTGAGTGATGGGTAGGGAGCCATGGGGCTCATCATCTCTCCTCCACTTTTAGATATATTTGACATTTTCCATTAAAAAAAAAAAAAAGTGCCTGGCAGACGAAAGTGTTCAGATACTGGAATCCAAAGGGTGAGATTAATTTTGCTTGGGGCAGGGATAGGTTGCCAGGAAGATTGCATGTAAGAGGTGGAAACTGAAGAATTCGTATGGTTCCCATAGGCAAGAGGGATCCTGTCTTCTGAAGCTCAGCATCATAAGGAAAGGAAGGGAGACCTAGCTGGGGCTGAGGAGGATAGAGCCTGGGGAAGAAATGGGATCTAAGCAGCTCCTCAAAATTCACTCACTCCATTTCTTCTTCATAGCCTGCTGTGCTGCTTGCTTTCCTTCCCTGCCCTTGATCCAATGTAGATGCATGCAATTTAGCTCTAAAGTTTGGGGGATATAGCTGCTGAGTTAGAAAACTACTTTCCCCAAAATTCATGCATGCGATTTTGTGCTATTTATTGTTGAAGATCAGTAGAACTTTGTGTAGTCAGATGAAAATGTGCCTTAGATGTTGGATCTTTAGATATCTTTCTTTATACAGTAAAATCCCACTGACCACTATATATGAGTTACTTACCATTGTTCAAATGTTTCACACGCACTCCTTCTGAGAGCATACCAGTTTGAGGGCTCAGAGCACAAAAGACATCTGAGAGAGGCTCCGTCCGCATTTGATGAGGGTCAGTAACTTACACAGCTTCGGACAGCATTTTTCTTTCACAGATATTTAGGGTAAAGCCATCATGAAAAATAGGTTCATTTTTAAGTCATAATAGGCATAATAGTTAAAAATGTAAGTAAAAATACTTAACAGTTCTTTGAAATTGCATGTTTCAGAGTGTTTTGCAAACAACATGCTTCACTGAACAACGCTCATAATGGTAAGTCTCTAAAATTTACTACTATGGGTTTAAAGAAAGGTATACATTTAGGTAAGACATGGAATATCCTGATTTGATTTACTAGCCTCCCTGACTTAAATACAAATTTTTGAGTTAAATTTTTATATATTTATAAAATTGCCAGTTTCTTTGTGCAGTGTGCAGTATAATGGACTAATTTTTCTTCTTTGCAAACTAGACCTACTCCCAGGAAATTCTCTGGCTGGAATCTTCCATCCTCACTATAATCAGAGGGCCAAACGAGGACGTGGTAAAAACCTTTGACTTTTGTGACTGCTTCTTTTCTAAAAGAATATCAGAATTTCCAGTACATAAAATTGATAAATTGCTGCATATTCCCTAAAATTCCCTAAGAATACATGATTAGCATTTCAGTTATAATTAAGGAAAAGTGGGCCCTGGCTAACTGGAGTTACGGGATGTACATTCACTCATGAATGGCCTCTGTGCTGTGTGAATAGCAGTGTCTCACCAGCACTAAATCTGGAATGCTTACTGTGGGCCAGAGACAGGACCTCTTTGGAAAAGGCTTAGTTCTGTGTCATGCCAACTGCATTTTTTAGTGGTAAACAACACTCTCTAAACAGTATTGTTACCCTCATTTTTCAGTCAGTACACTTTTATCAGAAATTATTATAAAAAACATAGTTCAACCAGTGTTTACTGATAGGGAAAGGTAACAAGAATGTAGTTTTATTTAATTTTTAAATTTTTTTTTTTTAAGAGAGTACACATGAGCTGGAAGGGAGGGGCAGGGGGGGACAGAGAATCTCAAGCAGGCGCTACACTCATCATGAAGCCAGACACAGGGCTCAATCTCATGATCCGAGCCAAGAGTCAGATGCTCAACTGACTTAGCTACGCAGGTGCCCCAATATTTTAAATTAAAAAAAATTTTTTAATCGTTTTTAAAAGGAGATTATAACACGGTTATGAATCCTCTCCCCAGAAGAAACTCAGTTCCATTTGAATACTTATAAAAATTTCCTTTAAAAACATACCTACTGCTATATTTTGTTTTCACTCAGACATCCTTCCTTATCTGTACAAATGGATCTACCTCATTTTTGAAAGGCACATAATACCCCATTGTGTTATTCAGTTGTGTAGCTGAATTACAACTGAACTAGTCTCTGCATGATGGACACTGAGGTTATTTCTATTTTTGTTTCTATCACATTGAATAGATTGATTCAATCTATTCATTGGTAGAATAGATTGAATCAATCTATTCATTGGTAGAATAGATTGATTCAATCTATTCATTGATAGATTGATTCAATCTATTCATTGATAGAATAGATTGATTCAGCGACATTGATTCAGTGTCCTAGCATTTTTCTCATCTTTGTGCCTTTATGCAGCTGTGCCATTTGGAAAACTTCGTGTAGATTGCTAGGTCAAAAAGTATAAACAATGAAACCGTGATAACTGGCTAATTCTCTTCCAAAGAGGTTGCCCCACCGTACGCAATTATCCCAATCCTTGCAAACGTTATATATTAAACACCTTCATCTTTGTCAGTCTGATAGGTGGAAAATTATTTTGCATATCTTTATGAGTAAAATTGAGTGTATTCCCCTATTTTTTGATCAATGTATCTGTTTTCCTGTGACACAGTCTGTTTTTCTATTTAATGAACTCTTCCTAGAGGGTTTCCCATTTGCCTATTTTTCTACTCGTCTTTTTTATATTGATTTATAAGATTTTTATATTGAAAATTGGTGCTTTATCGTAAGTGTTGCAAACATTTAGTGCCAAGTTTGTTGTATCTTTTGACTTTGTAATAACTTGTAGCATAGAACAGTTTTCTATTTTACGTAGTCAAGCATCAGTCTTTTCCTTTATGGATTCTGGTTTCTACATGATTTATATTTTCAACTGATTTTTCAGGAGTGAAAAGAAAAAGAGGAAGGAAGAAACGTCTCTCAACAGACATTCATGTACAGGTAATTTGACTTCATTTTACTATAGCTTTCAGTTTCTTCACACAGTTTCTTCCTTATTTTAAACATTCACATATCTGGTGAAATTGTAACAGAACCATAATGAGATGCATATAAAGGCTGGATGTGTTGGGTATCCCAGCACATGATCTTCAGGAGGCGACAGTCCATGGCTCCGATAACACATGCACCACATCAGTGAACGTGTTGGAGCCCACGGTGTGCTTACGGCCTTCAGAGGGGCAGAGCTGCAGTAAAGCATCCTTACCCAACCAAGAATTTCTCAGCTCGTGATGCACACTTTGACCTAATCTGTAATTTTCATAGTTTTCCGTATTACTGTTTTGTGCAAAGTGAATGAAATGTTTTGGGGATTAGAGACCACTTTTTAAACATATACTCATATAAGCTAAATTAAAAGAGCCAGCAACCTTCACCTCTTACTGTTTATACAAGAGGAGTTTGCCATGCCTCTTGATGTTTTGTTACACAAAAATGATTTTATGTTTACATGTAAACTACCAATGAATATGGGGCATGATTTTCACCACAGGTATATCATTGAATTGTTTGTAACAAAAGACTAGTTTTCATGTTACACAGTATTAAATGTCAACAGTAAATCAGTGTAATCTTGATTTTTCTCTCCCTCTAGCTACCTGAAACGTTGATATTAGACAGATTCATAAAACAAATGAAGGACGAGGATGGCAGACACACAGGTTTGCTATAAATTTTGTATCAAATATGACCTACAGTATTTACAAACATAACCCATTTATTTCAAAGTTGGTATCCCACTTAATTCATCTAGACTTATAGTAATTCTAAGAATAGAAACCTTTTATCTTAACTATCCATTCTATCATAGCCCCAGCTCAAAGTAACTGAGATAGGGATGGTCCACTGTTCTTTGCTATTAAGAAAGGATATACTTCCTGCTCTAGAAGCCAGGGTTACCTGAGCTCAGAATCCAGGCCCCTCTTGTACTGTGACCCCAGAAAGGGGGTCCAGGAAGCTGAAGCCACTCACTGTCTTTTTCTGTCAGGGAAATAAACATCCCATAATGACACACAGTAACTGTGACAGAAAAAAATGATGGGAGCTATTATCTCAAAAATCTGAAGCTAAATTTTAGAAAATCCTCTTGATTCAGATAATTAGGCTAAGCAGAGAAGTTTTTATTTTCACTTTTTGTAACACAGTTTCAGTGAGAAAAACATGAGGTGTGATGAAGTTATAGTAGAAGATAAAGGTGCTGAGATGCCTGGCTGGCTCGGTCAGTTAAGCAGCAGCCTTCAGCTCAGGTCATGATGCTGGGGTTCTGGGATGGAGTCTTGCACTGGGCTCCTTGCTCAGCAGGGAGCCTGCTTCTCCCTCTGCTTGTGCTCTGACAAATAAAATCTTTAAAAAGATAAATGTGCTGTATTTATAATCCTACTGACTGTGCTCATCCAGCACCAGGCAAGGTCTGAAGAAATGACCGTAAAGGGATTTATGAGAGCTGCCCTAAGATCATTTCCTCCTAAAATGTTTTTCTTATTCTTAGATGCAACTGTGAAGATTGACTTTCTTAAGAAATGTAAGGAAGTGGGGCTTCTTAATGATTTATTTGAAGAAATACTAGACAAACTTCACTTGATTCAGGAAAGACTCCTGGGTGACACTGCTTCTGATTCAGGTACCGAAATAGCCACATTTCTACGTGCAGAGACTTCTTGCAAACCTTCTTCTAGGTTTCTAATGATTCTAAAAATCATTTTAGAAGAACGTTATAAAACAGACCAAACCAAAAGTACACATTTTCTTTCTATGCAATTTCTTTTATGTCATTCTTTAATACAGTTCACTGTTCCAGATCCCTAGTCTTCTATGTATCAACAGGATGTGGGTAATTCACAAACTCATTAATTCAGGAAACAGCAGCCTGGTGCCCGGCAAGCTGTGATGGGTTCTGCAGAAGTGCATAGCTGAGAATGACCACTGACAGCATGTGGACACTCAGAAACACAGGCAGTCACACATCTGCCCCCTTAGCGCTTGCTGCTAACATCTGAGAATAGCATCATATTAGAGTTTTGATTTGACTCAAATTCTGTTCCTTATGTCTTTTTTGATAATGTCAACTCAAAGCTTATAGAAGAAAAGAGGAATGTTTTGTCTGATGTCTCACTTAGTTAACGTGACCTTTCAGAAGGAGCTCTTTGGGAAGCCAAAGTTCCATTTGTATGTGCAGGTATATAGCCACTTAGCTTTCTTAGACCCTACAGTGTAAGCTTAAAAACCATGATAAATGCAGTTATTTTACAAGGAAAAACTTGACAGTCTATACTGTAGGCACCAATGTAAGGTATATAATTATTTGAAAGGGATTATTTTCTATAGGACAAAACTAAAAAGTGAAATTAAAAGCAAACATCCAAAAATTCATTCATTACTTTCTTTCATTCATTTCCTCTTTACCGGAGACTAAGTACTTCTCAAACATGATCCCCTCAGAATCCCTGGTGGGCTTGTTAACACACGTGAGTGGGCCTCTCCCTGCAGCTTCTGAGGTGGTAGCAGAGCCACCTCTGCATGTGCATTTCCACCATGTCCCCAGGGAGGCTGCTGCGCAGTGCTGGACTGTTCTGTGTACCTCCTTTACCTGGAGTTAGTTTGTAAGGGGTTTCTGCCTACATCAGTTACTAAAATTAAAACTGAAAATGTTTTTCTCCCTACAGACTATGAAGAAATCGGGACTTCACTTTTTGACTGTAAATTGTTTGAAGACACATTTGTCAATTTTCAAGCAGGTAGGTGAATTTTAACCAAGCAGCATAATTTATATATATTGAAGTATATAATACTATTGTGTATAAAGTGATAAAAATCATTTTAGAAGAACGTTCATCATCTTACTAAATGAAAAAAGCCTACCACATAGCAATAGGAGCCCACACACCCACAGAAAATATACCCAAATGGGAATAGTAGTTAGCAGTAGGAGGCTGGACAGTGCTGCATTAGATTTTCCACATTCGTATATGCAATACCTTAGTCATCAGAAAAAACTCAATTTGTTGGGCCCCATGTTCAGGACTCAGCAGGAGCTGGGGAGGTGGCAAGGCCGTGACCACACTGCTGCTTGACTCCCTCTCACTTGATTTGATGTGTACAAATTTTAGTTCTCCCAATATTAATCTTCAGTCTAACTGGGGGAAGGAGGGTTGCAATTCACTGATTCTAAGGACGAGCAAGAAAAAACCAGGTGAGACATTTTTGAAAAAGAAGGAAGGCTGGTGGGGGCAGGGACTTAAGTGGTTGATATTTTATAGAAAGGTTTTGTTGAATCATATTGTACACCTGAAACTAATAGGACACTGTATGTAACAATACTTCAACCATTCAGTGAGTAGGTCCTCCCACCTTTAAGATGCTTTCAAAACCAGCTAAATTTCCACTTATGGATGAGTTTGATCTGACTTCTTTATCAAGCCTCCACACAGCTGGACAGCTATGCACTGCACATCCTGGCCGGAGTGGGACACAGAACTGAGTGTGAACAGCTCCGCCTAAAGCTGCACAACCACAGCGTCCTACTCTCCATTCAGATTTTGTATTACATTTATAATCAGCCTATCCTTTAACAGTCTCTTGAGAACATCTGATCACTGCTAATGTATGTGAGTACATATTTTTTAAAAGCAGCCTTTAAGCTCCAACATCGACAAATCAGCATGATACAATACATTAATAAAAGAAATAACAAAAACCATTATGATATTCTTAATAGATGCTGAAAAAGCATTTGACAAAGTACAGCATCCTGTCTTGATCAAAACTCTTCACAGTGTAGGGATAGAGGGTACATACCTCAATATCATCAAAGCCATCTATGAAAAACCCACAGTGAATATAATTCTCAATGGAGAAAAACTGAGAGCTTCTCCCCTAAGGTCAGGAGCACAGCAGGACTGTCCACTATCGCCACTGCTATTCAACATAGTACTAGAGTCCTGGCCTCAGCAATCAGACAACAAAAAGAAATAAAAGGCACCCAGACTGGCAAAGAAGAAGTCAAACTCTCACTCTTTGCAGATGATATGATATGTTATGTGGAAAACCCAAAGACTCCACTTCAAAACTGCTAGAACTCATACAGGAATTCAGTTAAGTATCAGGATATAAAATCAATGCACAGAAATCAGTTGCATTTCTATACACCAACAACAAGACAAAAGAAGGAGAAATTAAGGAGTTGATCCCATTTACAATGGCACCCAAAACCATACGACACCTAGGAATAAATCTAACCAAAGAGGCAAGCATATGTATTCAGAAAACTATAAAGAAATTGAGGAAGACACAAAGAACTGGAAAAACATTCCATGCTTGTGGATTGGAAGAACAAATACTGTGAAAATATCTATGCTCCCTAGAGCAATCTGCACATTTAATGTAATCCCTATCAAAATACTATCAACTTTTTTCAAAGGAATGGAACAAATAATCCTAAAATTTATATGGAACCAGAAAAGATCCCGAATAGCCAGAAGAATGTTGAAAAAGTTGGTGGCATAACAATTCCAGACTTCAAGCTCTATTACAAAGCTATAATCATCAAGACGGTATGGTACTGGCACAAAAACAGACACATAGATCAATGGGACAGAATAGAGAGCCAGCCCAGAAATGGACCCTCAACTCTATGGGCAACTAATCTTCAACAAAGCAGGAAAGAATGTCCAATGGAAAAAAGTATCTTCAACAAATGGTGTTGGGAAAACTGGACAGCCACATGCAGAAGAATGAAACTGGACCATTTCCTTACACCACACACAAAAATAGACTCAAAATGGATGAAAGACCTCAATTTGAGACAGGAATCCCATCAGAATCCTTGAGGAGAACACAGGCAGCAACCTCTTCAACCTCAGTTGCAGCAACTTCTTCCTAGAAACATCACCAAAGGCAAGGGCAGCAAGGGCAAATATGAATCATTGGGACTTCATCAAAATAACAGGCTTCTGCACAGCAAAGGAAACAGTCAACAAAACCAAAAGACAACCCACAGGAGAAGATATTTGCAAATAACATATCAGATAAAGGGCTAGTGTCTAAAATAAAGAACTTATCAAACTCAACACCCAAAGAACAAATAATCCAATCAAGAAATGGGCAAAGGACATGAACAGACATTTTTGCAAAGAAGACATCCAAATGGCCAACAGACACATGAAAAAGTGCTCACTATCACTTGGCATCAGGAAAATAAAAACCAAACCACAGTGAGATACCACCTCATACCATTCAGAATGGCTAAAATTAATGACAGATCAGGAAATGACGGATGTTGGAGAGGATGCGGAGAAAGGGGAACCCTCCTACACTGTTGGTGGGAATGCAAGCTGGTACAGCCACTCTGGAAAACAGCA